ACACGCTTCAATTGAAATTTGATGAACATCCTTAACATCTGTCACTTATCTTTCTTTACAATTTCGATTACGCTGTTATAGGTGTGGACAGCTACATCATCCCTTTGATAGTAATAACATTAATCCTAGTTGTGCACACCTTAAAATAATTTTTAATTGTCTACTTGAGATGTGCTATAACCCAGACATTTTGAACAACTATCATTTATATAGAATGAATAATTTTGACTCCAATAAAATTCTGTACATTCTTTGAAGCCTTGGAAATAATAATCAATAGATTTGAAAACGCATTTCTAATTTTGACATTATAAAAAAAAAATCATGAATCATACAATACGCAAAAACTGACTTTTTATATTAAAAACTGAATATCTTATTTATTTTTCAATATTTCGAAAAAAATCTAATGATATAATCATCTTCAGATGAGCCTCTTTCAGAAAAAAATAAGTACTGAAACGATCGCTACCAAAAGTACAATTATTTTGAAGTACGAAAATAACTTAATTTGAGAAAGAAAAAGTAATCAATTATTCCATCAATCTCCATTATTTTTTGTTTTTTCCATTCATTTCATTGAAATATCGCCAATTAGGCGAATATTAATATATCTTTATTTCTCAAGAGGCTACGAGTAACTTCCGACTTTTAAATCTAAGTTATTCTAATTTAATTATAAAACTACTTATTTCTATTTATCCTTAATCTATTTTTGGATTTTTCTCTTTTTCTCATTTTTGCCTTGGCAATTCACTCCTTTCCATATACCCTGATATGCACCAATCCACCCCTATTGTCCATCGTAGAAACATTTCCTGCAACAACTTCTACCCTTCCACTATGTCTTCTTACCTATGTTTTATAATCTACTATTGTCCATAATAGCTCATCCCACACTCACAATCTCCTCGCTCAGTCATTTACAGACATTTTTTCTCCTTCTTCCATATTTTTCTTATCGCTATGCCTACTTCTTTTACCCTCTCTTGTATATGTCCCTCACTACCTCTATTCCGCTTCAGCATAATCCCTAAATACCTAAATATTTTTACTTCCTACAATCTGTTATTATAGTTTCATTTTACCGCCTTCTATCTAAATTTCATTATCTTCATTTTATTACATTTAGCGTTAGCTTCTTTCTATGTAGGTACATCTCTACTCCTTTTAACATCTTCCTCATTTCTTGCTGTCCTGCTAATAGTATTACATTGTTTGCATCATTCAGCATACATATATATTATAACATCCTCTATGCCGGTATAAGCTCAAGTAGATACTTCTACTTAAAATATTTTTTCCGCAAGACAAATTTCCGCCATTTGCAGGACTTTTAAAATATTTTGACTTTTCTGTAGTAGACATTCCTATATCTTCAGTGAAACAATATAATTGCTCCATATAGAGTCTTTTCTAATGCTCTTAAGCAGAGCTATCAATGCATCTAATTTTGCCGCATTTAGTTTCCATTTAGTCCTCAACAATCTAAATGCTTTCGCTTCATTATAAATTCTCATATTTTACAATACTGTGGCCAATGATCATAAAAAATGCAGTCTTTACTTTTTCTTTCATAATATATCGCTTTGCATATTCTATCGGACTTGATACTAGCCTAAAAATATTATCAACTAGTGGTCTTCCAAATTTTTAACCTTCTTTTATTTCTTTTCAAACTGTTCCATCAGCAACTAATTTATTGGTTATGTCTAATAAATTGTCATGTTTTTCCATGTTATCTTTAATTTTATAAATTTTTGGTTCATTGAAATCTGGAGACTCTCCGTCTATGTTATTTATTTTTTCTAACATCATCATATTTTTTAAATGTCTCACTATTTCTGAATTAAATATTCATCACAAAATAATATACTAAGTGAGCCCATAATTATGAAAGTGGTCTAAATCAAAATTTAAAAATTATGAGTTTATCAGTTATTTCACACCACATTATTTTAAATTAAATTAATTCAATATAATTTATACGATATTGTAAAAATAAACCATTAGATAGTGGTTGTAATTTTAACATTATATGGAATTCATTTAGTGTTAATTATGAAAGTGCTCTAAGTCAAAAATTTAAAGAAATTATATAAATTATATAAGATAAAGGCTGTACGAGAACATATTTTAAGTTTCCCAGCATATGTATGAGAGCCACTACACTAGAGCTCATCATATTTCTGGTCGAAAATATTTGAATTCTGATTCAGATATTCGTAAAATGTATAGCCTACATGTAGAGAAATTTGAGGAAAAAAACCAATCATTTGTTAAGGAGTGGATCTATAGGAAAGTATTTAATACTAAATTTAATTTAAATTTCTATGCTCCTCGAAAAGACATGTGCCAAAAATGTGATTTATTGAAGGGAAAAATCGAAGCAAGCAGTAATGAGGAAGAGAAGTTACATCTTAGACAAAGTCATGATTTACATTTGCAAAATGTCGAACGAGCTAGAAACTGTCTTGCAAAAGACCAAAAAAAATCAAAAGAAAATCCCAGGGAATATTATGGAATTTCATTTGATTTGCAAAAACCACTCCCGTATCCAAAACTTTGTTTCGTTAGCTTATTATAAACGAAATATGTACGTATATAACTTGGGTTTCTATAATTTCTATGATGACAATGTCAAGATGTATGTATGGGATGAAACTACAGCTTTCAGGAAGTAGCATCACGTATTTTAATGCATATGGAGGATATAACTACCCAAAACCACGTACAGTGATGCTTGTTCAGGCCAAAATCGTAACATTAAAATAGTATTGACATGGATGAAAATTGCTCAGTCATTAAATAATAATGGTGAAACGGTAGACCAGAAATTTTTGGTATTTGGTCATTCCTTTCTACCGAATTACCGTGATTTTGGGTTGATAATAATGAAAATAAAAAAAGCAAATTACTTATACAACCCTAACCATTATTATGAATTAATAGAAAAGTATAAAAGAAGAAATACGTTTTCGGTAAAACGAATGTCGCAGCCGGATTTTATTTCAATGAAACCACTAGAAGATTCAACGGCAAGAAGAGTAAAAAATACCGCGGACGAATCTGTTTCTTGACTGCAAGTCAATGAATGAGATTCTTAAAAAATGAACCTTATAAGATATTCTATAAGACTTCTTTAGATGGTTGTGGTTTGTGGTGTGTGGTTTAAATTCCACGTTTTGGATCTTTCACCTAAAAGAGGAAAACCAAAAATATATGATAATATTAAATTACTTACATTATACACCACCACTAATCCAGTAATGGAAGAAAAACAAAGATATTATGTATTTACTATCAAACATCCCTTCAATTTTTAAGAATCTTAAAAACCCAGAGCATTTTAAGAATTTTAAAAACTCATAATGATAAAAGCCTCAAATGATAAAAATGGATTATTTCTTAAAGATAGTTAATAAATGTTCATAAATTATTTCATTAAAATTATTGTTTAAAAATCGTAGTTTTTTATTACTTTAAGTCATTTATATGATATTTAGTTAATTTTGAAAATGGCCTAAGTCAATTCAAACTTTAAAAACATTTTCATATGAAATTCACATAAAATTTCATATTCATAATAAATTTCCATTAATAAAGATTAATAAAATTCTAAATTAAAATATTGCATAATTTGAAGAAATATATGACTTAGACTACTTTCATAATTATGGGCACAATTGTGCTATTAAGGTTAACCATTCGTTATGTGATACTGATGTACTCAATTCTTATTTTAAGATTTTGCTACTGATATCACTTCTTTTAACTATATCAAAAGTTTTATTTCTACTAGTGCAATGTAACGAATATAGGATATATTAATGAATAACTCTTCTACAAAAATTTTGTTTATCTATCAAACATGAATATATTATATAAACTATTTTAAAAAATCATTCTAAGCATTTTTTTATTGGCGTTAATTGACTTAATAAAACGAATCTATAGTTTTTTAATAAATGCTTTCACAGATTCGATCAGTTTGCTAATAATAGAATTTTCAAGTCCGTTGTGAAATGCGACGTCGATATTAGCAGGACACAATCTTTTATATCTTTATAATTAAACCCTACTGCGGTCATAGAACTGCGCGGTAATCCTGTTTTTATCAAGACTATTCCTCGCGAATATGCTGCTCAAATCATTTCCTTCGCGTAATAGACTACGTCTATCAATCAAGTTCACCAACGAAATATTCAATTATATAGTCCGTTAGTATACCTACAGATCTATCAAGCAGATCTATAATTTTTTTCTCTATTAGTTCTCATTGAATGAATAGAAGTAATGTAGCAATTAGTCCAATATTGTTCATACACACCGGCTATAATCATTTAAGCTATATTCTATAGTTAGGTAGTCGAACACAGAACAAATTTCAAGAATCTACACTTTCATAACTCACAGTTTTTTCTTCCTAAAGCAGATGGCGAAACTAGCTCAGCCAATATAGTTTTTTTTTTTTATATTGCCATTAAAACGCCAAAGCGCGCGTAACCGGAGCATCATAGTAATTTTTATAAAATAAAATAAGTTATAAATTTATCTTTGATATTATCAATAATTGGTCTATTGGTTGAATTCAACATTTTAAGGCTATTTAAGGCATTTTACATCATAAATTTATGCTTTATATTTTTACGAAATTTTGTGTATTTTGCTCTTAAATATCTAGGGATTTCCAATAATTAAATATTTTTGAATTAGAGATACTTTTAATTGTATTATAAATAAGTAATTTATTCAAAAAATATTCTACCACATAGAACAATGCAACAAATATGGTTGTAATAGCAATTATAGTCATTATTAAAATCATGATAAGGTTCATTTGAAAATTAAAGAATTATTTTATATTTACTTATATTTTATAATAAATGAATATTGTAAAAATAATTTAGTTTAAATTTATTTAAAAATGATCCAGTAGCAATTCAAATTAAACATCTTTCTTTTTCAAAACGTTTGGTGAAAAATAGAAGATAAACAAGGAAATAGAAGAGAAGGAGAGAAAAGGAGAGAATGAAATTGCATTCTTAAATGCACATTTATGTTAAGGAACTAGTTGGAAAATGGCGGGCTGCATATTTTCTTCCCCTAAAACTCCATAGTTAAAATATCTTGACAATTTTCGCACTAAAACTGATTAGTTCTGTAAATACGGAGAAGAGTGTTAACGGAAATGTTTTAGCATATAAAATAAGAGTGAAAAAGTTTAAAGATTTCCGAAATATTTGAATCATTTAATCTATTAGAGTACACGAGAAAAAAATATATATTTATAAATATATTTAAGCAATGTCACAGCCATCAGTAACGGCTTATTTTAATACGCGTAAGCGACAAGCTAACGAAGATTTACGCAATAAATCTAAAGTTTTATTATTGGATCAAGAATATATGAAAATAAATGAAGACAGTGAACTTCAAACGAGAATCCAAACTTTTCAACCGTCCAAACTTCTACCTGAAGAACAAGAAGAAACTGTAGTAACGAGCTCAAAAATGATATTGATGCAAGGAACAAGCAATTTTAATAATTCTACTTCTAAAGTAAATTCTACTATGTGCCATACTCAAGTTGATTCTAAGTTTTCTGCACAGAAGACAAGTAAAGTTATTACTCGCTCACGTGTAACTCAAATATGTAAATCAAGTCAGAATGGTCAAAAAGATATTCGTGAGAGTTTCCTCAAGATAAGTAATGATGATGAAATGAAAAACGGAAATTTGAAAATAAAAGGAAAAGTGAAAAAAGTATTATTTGAGAAAAAAGGTACTTTGAGTCCACAGAAGAAGCAACCTTCTACGCCAAATAAAAATGTAGCAGAGGAAAAACAGACTACAATGATTGAACAAAATGAACCAACTGGTATTGGATGTACTACACCAAAAATGATGTCAATTAGAGATGATTCTATTAGAAAAAGTCTAGATTTGAATGAAATCAAAAATAGAATTAACAGGTCTAGCAGACTAGCAGAATTAAAAGCTTCTATTGATCGCATTAAAAAATGTGAACAACATTTAAATGTATTTCAGAAACAAAATGATCTTAATAAACCTCAAATACAGAGGTTTGAACAAATTGAACTTGAAATTCCAGTCAGGTAAATCCATTCTATAAGATTTAGAATCTTTTTATATTTCATCTTAATTTTTATTTTATATAATAGTCCTCAAAAGAACTTCAAATCACCAAGTAAAACCTTAATTAGTCCGATAAAAAGTGAAGTCTTAGCTCAAACGAGTCCACAACGTCGTATTTTATTTGAACCTAAGAAATCTACTAGTCCGATAAAAAGTAAACCTGATAAAACTCCAGCTTATCAAAGATATTTATCATTTGCTGAAAGTAGTACACCAGGATTATCATTACCATATAACTATAGGTTCTTAGCAGAAATTTTTAGATGCATTGATACGGTATATGAATATATCATTTTTTATTGTAGTATATTATTGTAATTTATTATTGTATTATATTAATTTACGCATGAAATAATATTCCATATTATTGATATTTTTAGGTTTCCGCTATGCTGTTTAATCGTAAAGAATTAATAACATTTAAAAAATTAAAGCCAGCTATTCAAGAACTTTTACGACGCAACTTTACTTTAGAACATTTGTCACAAATAAAAACTGTTTATCCTGATGCTTATATTTTTCATCAAGAGAAAGTTAGGTCATTTGGTTCGATATCTAAACAAGATAAATATGAATTGATTTTAACACCAATTGTACAAGTAAAAGATGGATTAAATGGATCAAATGAAGACAATGTCTTACAGGCAGCAACAGATGTAAGCATGACTCCGGACATATTGCTACAAAGAAGAAGAAAATTTTATGATGTTTTGTTAGGTAATTTTAATTATTTTTTATTTTCTGATTATTGATTAAGTTTAAATTGATTATAAATCATACCAATATTATTTATGTATTGTAGATAAAGTTAAAACAGAACATGAGCAATTTTTGCTAAAATTAGACGAACCAATAGTCGTTCTTAAAGAAAAAATTATACGTTGGCATCCTGAGTTTGATGTTGAAAGTTGCAAACCTATTGAGCAATCTGCATTGCCACAACCACCTAATATAGAAAAGGCCACTTCTGCTAAACATGTTTTAGGTACGATTGTATTAACAATGATTTCATTAAATAAACATTATGTGTGTGTAATGGTGTTAATATTTATAGAAATTATATTATAGAAATATTTCAATTATTTTCATGTTAGTTCTTGATAATGTGATACAGATTTAAAATGAAAAAAGAATATCTTAGACAAAAAAATCTTAAATTGAAAGTTGAACGTTGGCTTTAATATTATAATTTAGTTAGTATTTTTTATAAATTATTATTTTCATGTTTCGGGAACTTGAATTTAAGAAATCATTTGTGCAGAATGTGTGTTTCAATGTTTTTGAAGTCTCGTTGGACAAACAACTTTTAAGTAGAATTCGTAAGATCTTTTAAATAAATAAAACATATTCTTCAATTGATTTGTGAGGAATGTATACATAGATTCTTTCATGTTGATGTTTTTTAATACATATATATTTTTTTTATAGAAAAAGCAAAGTCTTTATTCACTTGTAATACTCGAATGGAAAAAGCTTTGCAAAGATTAGCAGAAGCAAAAATGGTGTCAAAATCTAAATCTCCAGATATATCTTCTACAAATGAACCTACTAACAGTACTATAGACAAAGTTAATATTACTGTTATTAATACTCCACCAATTATACCAACTATAGAAAGGAGTTATCTTGCTAAGACATTTAAGGGCATTCCAAAAGCTCTTCTTGAAAAGGTAGGTTTTCTTTTTCTTTTTTTTTTTAATTTAATTTTTATTGAAATTTACAATTTGATCTTATTAGGTACGTGCGAAACAAGCTGCTAAAGCATTAGAAATGATGACTCGAACTCCAGATCTAGATAAAGAAGCGACTCTATATTCTAGATTACCTGAGTTAGCAAAGATTCTTCGTAGTATTTTTGTAGCTGAAAAGAAAGGAGTTTTACCTTTAGAACATGTATTAACTAAATTAGATAATTCGTTTAGAACTAAACTCACTACAGCTGAATTAGAGGAACATGTGCGAAAATTATGTAAATTACTGCCTATTTGGGCTAGTATACATAATGTGCGAAAAACAGATTACTTAAAGCTTGCAAAAGATGTTGATTTAAATAAAGTAATTAAAATGTTAGAAATTGTGGCTAACAATAAAGTTACTACATCATGATGTCAATATAATAACGTAATTAATATAAAATTCAATTTTTATTTGTATTTAATTTTTTTTAATATATTTATGTAATCTTTTTTATGGTATATTTGCATGGATATGATAACAATGAATTAGCATTTTGGAATTGTTATCTTCTCATGTAATTTTACTATGCATAGTCAGTATATTTTCTGGTATATGTCATGAATAAAAATAATATATAAACATTAAATTTTTTAATTTGTGTTATTGGTTAAATATCGTTTAAAGATTATGATACATCATATATATGATGAAAAATATTTATATATTTTAATTTTATTATCATCCAATTTTTATAAAAATTATTGATATAAGGAATAATATTACTAAAAAAATATTGAGTTAAAAGAAAATGAGGAACCTTACTTTTCACAGACTATGATTACATATTTATTTACAATGTTTATTTTATGTAACAGCACATAATATATAACATTAGGTCATCAGTTATAACTACAAATAGCATACGACTAGATTAAAGGATCAAGAAGTAAAACTGCCACATCAAATCTAAATTTAGATCCAATTTATACATGCTTATGATATTTATGACATTTAATGACATTATGATTGTAACAAAAATAGTTATAATTACATTAACTTTAAAAACTTTCATAATTTTGCCAAAGTTTGAATATTAGTATAATAATACTAGTTATATTATCCAGATTATGCTTTACAAAAAATAACAGATCTATACTTTACAACAGATTCTATGTTTATAGCATGCTTCTTGTAACATGAAAATTTAATAAAATATTTAAATCATCTGTTTTAGAAACGGGAAATGTACAATTTAAGAATATTATTATTTTCATAAAATCATAAGTCCATTTCATAACATTATGTCCCAATTGAACTTTATTTTAAAGTTCATTATTCGTTTTTTCAAAAATCTATAAACGAATCCGAATGGCTTATGATGAATCATAATAGGCACATTACATGGAAATTTTTATCAATAAAGGCACTGCCATGTTTTGCACTAAAGGACTAATACATCGGTGCATTTGTAATTATTCATTATATGCATACACAAACATATATGTATATATAGCATATCTATCTATTTATATTAAAGTCTGCCAAGCAGTCTACAAGGAATGTTGTACTTCTATAATTCAGTCCCAAAAAATAAAAAGATATTGTTTGAAATTATTGCCTATATTTATTTATACAACTGAACTTTGGCAATTTATAACTATTTCAGTTCTATATTCTGTATTGTAATAATTATATATTTGATTTATTTATTCCTGATTAGGAGCCAAATTATATGTATCATAACATATTAAGATATATTTATAAAAGTTTTGATCGCTTACCATACATAATAGGCAACTGTAGTATATCATTTAAAAATTTTTTTTATAATAATTGCCTAATAACGACAAAATATTACTGTATAATATTTATAATAAAGGTAAATCAAGAGATACTACTATAAGTGTATGCCTGTGCATGCTAATCACATTAGTAACTTCAGTACATGAGGCAAAGTAATATTTTACTTAAGGAATTTTGTAAATGCTTCTGCTATATGTATCATATTCAAGTTTCACGACATATTACATTATGTATACACTCTCTAATGATATTGTTCATAAAAATAGCGAACGATTCTTGATACATAGAAACAGATACAAATGTAGATTACATACAAAATTTAAGTATTAAATGCACATAATAACAAAAATCTTTCTCTTTGCCATTTCTTAAGTAGATTCAACCAAATATAATTTTTCATTTCAGGATATGTATTAACATATGTATGATATAAAATATTCTAATTGAAATTATATTTTTACAAATGAAACACAAATCATTTAGTGAAGTTAAATAAATTTTAATTAACACATTAAAACATAGAACAAAGGGAGACAATTAGAGCGATATTATGGTCAATTACAGTGACCTTGCATACTCTATTCAGAAAATTCAAAATATCAGTATGTGAGAAAAATATAAGAATCATGTAAACATAAAAAAAAAAAAAAATATTTGGCATAATACATTGATATACATATATTTTGTGTACCTAGGTGCAGATTGTTTGTTTTAATACTATACGTATTTTCAAACGTTAATATTTACGTACAAAAAATATTTAATTTTTTCAGCTCGATAAATAAATAAATCAAAAAAGTAAATATAAAAAATATTCAAATTAAACATTCCAAAAACATTCAATCATTGTGTGTTCTTTTAAAAAATACAGTTAAAAGTTTAATTATAAGAAACTTTCGTTCCTTCGTATATCATAATCTTTCGTGAAAAATATAAGTAGAATATATATTTAGTTAAATATACAATTTTTTGATCTATATACAGATATGTATGATGCAGGGCATCTATCTTTGCATTTACATTTTATTGTAAATAACATTATCTGTACCTAGGTATTTCAATAACAATAATTAAATATGTCTCAAGTAAGGTGTCTATATAATATAAAACTTGTTACCTAATATAAACTTGTAAAAAAGAGTATTATAATCTATAATTAAATTCTATTAAGTGTCATGATAATATAAATTCCAATAAAATTATTAACTCATCGCAATATAAGTTAAATTTCTTATCTCATTTTATATGAGATTAGAAATTCTTGCATTTTATCTAATATTGTTTTCAATAAGAGTTATAGTAATACTGTAAAAATATAAATCAAATTCTAACATACCTTTTCATTGTTATTGCAAATCATAATAAAAATTGTCAGTCTATTGAAATTTTTTATGCAAAATTCATTAAAAAAAATTAAGTTAATCTATGCATATAATCAACAATATAATTCACATCACAGATTCAAGATCAATAAATGAATAATGAAAATGCAAATATAATTTTTTTGTGTACAGATTTTGCAAAAAATAACTTTTTCCTAAAAAATGTTATTAAGAAATAAGTTTGTTTCTCAAGGCCTTAATTGCTTTTTGTTAACAGAAGAAGTCAAGCTTTGGTGTGTAAGTTACATACATAGATGTATTAATATGTACAAAAGTGCTGTTATTATGACCTGATATTTCTGTATGACACATACGAAAAGTAGAAAATTCTATTTAAAAAATTATTTATACTTTTTATAGTAATTTAAAAATCAAGCGAAATATTAAAAAAGAAGAAAAAGGAAATGACAGCTAAAAATAAAGTATAATATATAATGATCTATATGCAAATATTGATTAGTTAAAAAACATGAGATTCTCGAGTATGTTTTGCTCTGAGTTTAAAATAATGCAGTAGGGCAGTATCATATTACTATTTTAAACATAGTTGAAGCACATTAAATTGGTATGTATAGTAATAGTCTTTGTAATAATAATTACTAAATCGTGAATTTTCTAAATATAAACCATTTTGTTTACATTAATATCCTGTGTTTGTTCAACTATACTTTAAAAAATATATAATTATTATGCCTGAATGTATATATCATTATTACTTCTATGAGATATATAAAAAAGAGATGTAGGATTTTTAAAGTATAAATAAGCTTCATTGCTTGTATAATGTAAGTACAGAGCACTCAGAATTAACATGTCACATTTCATATGATAGTAGTAGAAAATTTATAAAAGCGAGTCAGTAAAATCTGAATTAAGTGACAAATTAAACGTATTTATATTCAACTATTAGACTCGCTTTATACAATTATTTACAAAGCAGACTAAATTATAAAATCCGTATCAAAACTGTTATTATATGATTAACATTAGAATTTTAAAAGCTATTAAACTAGAAACTAATAAAACTGTAGAACATTTGGCATATTTATAATTATATTTTATTCAGTCGCGAAGTGAAATTTGTCAATTAAGAACAAGTTTTACCAATATCTATATTTTTTTATGCAATCATTACCCAAGTCAACCACGACTAAATGATTGTCTGCTAATACCGCAATGCCTGATGGACGTCGTAATTTTGAACTATGAGAATCAATTTCAGTTAAAATATTACCTCCTCCCAGCTTTAACACTTGAATGATGCTCCGACCTTTATCTGTACGAGTAGCAAGTATTCTACCTTCTGCATCAACTGTTATACCACCATATATGCCTTTATCTATTGAATAAAATAAAAATATATATGTTATTGTAATATACAGTATATAAAAATATTTAGATTAGACTAATATATAAATACAATATAATAAAATATTACTTTTTCCTTCAGCATATATTTCTTCAGAGAAGTCACCCTTAGCAGAAAATACTTGAATTCGACTATCAGCAACTAAAATTTCTCCAGCAGGACCAACAGTAACAGAACTAATTAATCTAAAGGTGCCCCTTTTACCAACCTGTTTATTAGTAATTTCTTTTTTATAAAATGTGTTTAATATCTGAAGATTTAGCTTATAAAATTATTGACTAACCTGAAACAGTATTTTACCATCAGAATCAAATACAAAAACACAACTTTGTCCATTGTCAGCGACAAGTATATGTCCATAGCTTCTATCTACTGCTATATCGATTGGTTCCTATACAAAATAATATAACTTAAAATAATATTGACAATATATATTTATATGAGATTATAAAATATGAACAAATGTACTAACTTGAAAAGTATTATGAGAGAAAGATCGAATTGTATCACCTAGTATACTCATTTCTGTGATTCTTCGTGTTCTCCAATTAACAACAACAAGACCTTGTTGAGATATGGCAATTCCTGTACAACTACGTCCTTCCAAGCCTTCATTGTTTATGTGTCTTTGAAATTCTAAATCACTATTCAGTACCTGTTACAATAAAGAACAAACTTTTTAATAATATTTAGATGTTATATTCTTTTTAAATCAAAACAATACAAATGGAATAAATGATAGATGAATTAAATAGATGTAAGATACACACGCACCTTAATTCGTGAATTGCCAGTATCTAAAATATAAACATATCTATTATCATCAATTGCAACTCCAACTGGTTGATGAAATTCATCTTCACCATTTCCTCTTTTTCCATAGACTCTAATTGGCTCATTATGTTCCGTGGCATCAAAGAACAATGGATAATCTTTAATAGGTCTTTCGAATACAGATAATTTTAAAATATAACGACTAGCATATGGTGGCCTGAACAGTACTTCGTAAGTACCATTATCTAAGTCTTTAACTTCAGTTTCAATTGATTGATTTTGATTTTCTAATTGAATATTATCTGCTAGCATTAAATCTGCTCCAATAGGATCTCCTCCAACATTACGCGGATGACCATGGTAATCAACTGTTTCAACTACAACAACTCCTTGCAGTTTAACTATTGCTGGATCTTTAAGTCTAGCTCTACATAAACCTGTTAAATATTAAAAATTCGAATTTATTTTATATAATAATTATGCCTAATAGTATCTACAAAATATTATGCTATATAATAATTAATTATAAACTACCAGGTAATGTTGTACTGGAGCGTATTCTTCCTAAGTTATTAAGTGCCTTTTCTAATTCAATAGATGCATTATTATGATAAAATTCAAACGTAATAAAAGCATTTTCCCTTGGCTCACTAAGCGCTGTAGCTGCATCAAGTTGATCAGATAAGCTTCCAATTCGTTGCGTTATATTTTGAACTTCAATCTACAGAAAAATTTCAACATTTGAAATTAAAAAATAATAAACAGCTTTTTATAAATACATTCAATATAAAAAAAGTCGTGTATGTTTATACTTGATATTGCAATCCTTCACATTCTCTTTCAACTTTATTTTTTTCCGTTTCTATCGCGGCATGTTGTTCTTCAAGTACTCGCTTTTTATCTCTAACAGCAGCACTAACGGCAGCTTGTAATTCCACACGACGTTTTTCTACTTTAGAAATAATATCCGCAAATTCAGCATCAACAGCATGTAAACATCTTTCCATAGCAGCGTCTAAACGTTGAAGTTCTGTGCTCACAGAATCTTGAGCCTGTGTCAACTTAAATATACCTGTATATTAACCACTTTCTACTTTATCATACAAAAATTACACTAGATAATTTAAGAACAAAGAAATATATGATTCCCTACCTTAGATATACATTCATTTGCTTTATAAAGTAGTATTTCAGACATCCGTTTTATTGCAATGCTAAAAGGGATAATTGTATGTTCCGTACAGCCTGGCGATGTACCTGCATGTGTACCACTTGTACATATTGTACAAAAAACTGTATCACAAGTTTCACAAAATAGCAATTCTTGATTTATATGTACTGAACACTTTGGAATAACCTTTAATGAATAAGTATATACTTATGAAAAAATATATATCATGTTCTAATTAATATTGTATTAGAAGTATTAAGCCACTCGAAATTCGTCAATCTATGAGAATGAATATGTAACAGATGTAATATGATACCTCTCGTCTCTGTCTGGACATAAGATCAAGAAGTTGGTTGACAAGAAAACTGGGAGGTAAAGCAGGAACTCCTCCACGAGGGATAGTTATTAATTCTCTACAAATTGGACATCGAAATGCTCCAGTTTCTCTTGTTTGTGATGCAGCAATTCTTGTTAAACAATGTAAACATACCTAGAAAAATATATAAAGTATTCAAAAAAAATTGATTAAAGTTATCAGTTGGATATATATATTTAAACACATACCGTATGAGAACATGGTAATAGTTTTGGAGTATGTTCCCCACCATCATAAACACATAAACATGTCCCACATGTTAAGAAACTTTCATTAAAATCTTCATAATTTATACTGACTGTTTCCACAAGCATGGAGCTCATGCTGACCATCCTCTCCCCTAGCCGTGTCCTACAAATTACAGAAAATGATAAAATAGTTCCTAAAAAATGGCTTAATATTTTATATAGATTCAGTTTTTAAAATAACGAGTTAAATATAGAAAGCTTTGTTATTTATTACAAATATTTAAATTTGAAGTAAGTATATAAAAATTATATCTATTTTATGGGTATCATTTTAATAGAATAAAATTAAAAAATATTAAGTATGAGCATATTGCTCTGATTTATATCAAAATATATGACAAAATATACATACAAATTATTTGCATGTATTACCTATATATGTACTAATTTTATGTATAGCATACAATTTCTGATGCTTTTATTTATTTTTTAAACATATTCTTTTAATTTTGAGATATCTATAAATCAAATATAAAAAAGTATAAATTATTCTAACTTAAACTTTGAAGCAGCATAATTTGTCTACTTTGAGTATAAATCAAGCATTAGCGTGCTATTTCGTTCAGAAATTAGCTATATTGACGAAGTACTGTATAAATAAACGCTTGGCTCAAAATATTAAAAATATGAAGAATACAATGAAAACAAATGCACGTAACGTTTATAAACTCACTGCACAGCTAAACGTAATGCATCCATAATGGAGTTTGAACTGTTGTGTATTTTTCAAAAGAATGTTATACATCCATGTAAGAATCTGTATATGGCACACGTTTTCGAAAGCACGTGAAACGTCGCTATTGTCAAAAATATTCGATTGAGCAAAAATGAATTAAGTAAACACTAGAACATGGTTAAAGTACCCGTCATTTTATCCGTCATTTACCGTCACTGACCATCACACACATTCATCTTTACTCACACATAAACTTCTTTTTATCGATAACAATCGTTTTATGTTTTAATCAAAAAACGATCGATCGATCGGCAAACGAATATACGTAAATCAAAAGACGCGACGCGCGACACGTGCTATTTAAAAAAAAAAAAAAGCAAGAAAGTTGAGAGAAAAAAGTTATTTCGATAATTTCCACGAAATGGCCATGATCGTTTTCTTTCGAACAATACGTTTCTTTCTTCCGTAGACTTAAAGATTCAAAACCTAAATTTCACGCAAAGTACGGCACATCTTCGAACGAACAAACGAAACATTTTACGAGCTCATCATACGTAGATTATCCTTTCTCTCTCTCTCTCTCTCTCTCTCTCTCTCTCTCTCTCTCTCTCTCTCTTTCTCTTTCTATCTCTTTCTCTCCCTCTCTCTCTCTTTGTGTGACAGATGAATAATTCTACGGGAGTACACGTTCGAACTCTTTCAACGACATTTGCACTAGTAAGGAAACCGTACGAGTAACACAAAGAGTGCCGATCCGAAGATTCGCCGCAGTGCACCCATTGTTGTCTCTCTGCTCACTCTCCTTTAAGATTCTTTATTCTGGATCGGACGGACGAAACTGACTATATAATATTCCACAGACCCTTACAACCTATCTCTCTGATCTTCTCTTGAATGTCGTTATTCATCGATTTATTCTCACTTTGATCTTCAAATTCTTATTATTTCGAATCCTCGGTATCATTTTCAATGTTTTTACTTTTCTTACTCATACTCATTCTCTATCATAATCATCTTGTGAGAACCTTTTATCTTCTTTCTTTCTTTCTCTTTCTCACATTTTTTTAATTTCTTATATATTTCTTGTACTCATATCTACTCATATATTTTTTCTTTCACACAATTTTCAATCAAACTCGATATTTTATGTTCGTTTTTCATATATGGATTTTTTCTTTCATTTTTTGTTATTTTTTTATAAACAAAAAGTATATATATTTTTCCTTTATATTAAATGTAGTACTTATTTAAATGATGTCAAGCTTGTGAACTTATCTCTGTTTAGCGGTTCATTGACGAGAAGTTTAGCAAAGAACGAAAGAAAACAGCATGGCGGGAAAGAATAGAAACCTGTTACGCGCGAAATTGAAACATAACGAATCTTACGCGTGCTTTCGAGTGTATGTAATATCATTGTAAAAATGTTATTTTTTATCGATTTTTTATTAACTAATTTTAATTTCTTTTTGATGACACCTTATAATTAAATTATTAAAAATATATATGTCTTGTGGCTGATGGTAAACTTTTACAAGAAGATTTATACATTTTTTATAAATATATGTTTGGATTATTAATAGGGTATTAAATTTATTTTAATACGTAAGAATTATTAAAATTAAAAAGAAAATAAATTACTTGAAATACAAATGTGCAAATGAAGCAGCAATACGTATTCAGTTAGCGATAGTCAATACTATTTTTCATAGGTGTAATTGCAAAATTAATATCAATATGCTAGTCACAATCGTTAATAAGAATGTTTGAACATGACAAGAATTATTAATATAATCCTATTGGTCTATTCAGAAGCTTTCCTAATCTAAAATGATTACATATATATGATAACTGTATATTATAGATAGATCGCATTATATAAAGTAACACGTAACCTGTAATAATTTTAATATTTTAATACTTACATGAAGGGGCAGCAGCTCATATAGACTTCGTTGATATTCTCAATTTTCAGTGTTACTTTATGCAATTTATAATGGATTTTGTTTATGAGGTAAATATTACATTATTGCTCGCATGATGTTCATTTCTAATTCATATATAATCGTGTTGTTGATTTTGTTTAGAAAAAACTGATCAATACGTTTTCTTCTTGAATACAATTGGAAAACTTTTTTATTTTTTTATATATGTATAATATTAAGATATTAATAACACAAGATTTGGAAACACTTTACTTATTTGTGCGATATAAAACTTAATATTTTGATTTCTCTTTGGAATAAGATAATCTAAATCTTATAATATTATTTAGGTTTCATAAAAAAAGAAAACTTGGTAAATCATCATCGTCGTTTTCGTCTTCGTCGTCGTCGTCATCATCATCATTATCATCATCATCATTATTATCGATAATTTCAACAATACAAAAAGAAACACTAAATAAACTCCGGATGTAGCGATTTTTCCAGTTATCAAAACACTCAGAAAATACTGGTTTTCTTTTATTTGTTTTTTTCTTCTTTCTATAATTTCAACAAACACATGTCATTTTTCATTTTACGAAACTTGATGAACTTCATTGGTGTGTCTTTCTTCTTTTCAATTTGTTGGCATGATATTGAAGTCAAGATGAGGATTTTCCAATCAGATCTTGTGCCACGTTCGTTGCATTTTTTCTTTTATCATGAACGACAGTCGAGGTCCGAGCTAGGTTGACACGACAGAAGAGACCGTAGCATTCCTCTATCGATTTTCTTTTTATCTTAATAGAGAAATACGAAGCGAGTGACTCAGTTGGTTAAATTGTCATTCTAATTAGACAACTTTTTCCATCTTTCTTTCTCTCTCTCTCTCTCTCTCTCTCTCTCTCTCTCTCTCTCTTTCTCTTTCTCTCTCTTTCGTTCTTTCTTTTTTTTTCTCTTTCACTCTTACTCTCTCTCACTTACTAACAAAATGTTACAAATGGCAAGAGATCTCAAGCCGAGTCTTGGAATGGTCGGGGGATGAAAACACGCCCTCGAAACTGTCCTTACGAACGTCAGGGCATGCGCCGTTTTATTTAGGTCACACGCCACTTGATGGACTCACAATCGTATCTATGCGAATTTTTCTAGCTAGAGCAACTTCGATCGAAAGCCTTTATCATGTAGAGCCAAAAGACAACCCTTAAGATTATTAGATCTCGAGATTTTTTTTATCAATTCTAGTTTGTTATACACATTTACATACTAAACAATTATTTATTGTAAGTGCGTCTAAAGAGAAGTAGGTAGGAAGAATCGTCTAAAAAGAATACATTGTTTCTATTATTAATAAACATTTATTATCGTTAAACATGTAAATTTATGGTTAACACGTTATGAGATAAAAACGGATTAGCAAACATCTATTACAGTATTTTAGATTACTCTTACATTATCGATAAAAATTTAGAAATATCCAAACACGACCAATTTTCGATCAGTTATACTTATCTGTAATAATTATATTTTTCGATCGATGCTAATAAAAAGATTATAGTTTATTTTTAATCAATTCGTGCAGAATTTCATTATTTTGTTTGTCAAATGAATAGGAAGGATATCAACTCCGAAGGATTTCACTTCGTAAATACAAAGTTAGCTAATATATGATATGATCCAATCTATATAACTGTAAATTCTAATGTGGACGTCCGGATATCTTTCAGCACATCATGTAACCCAAGAGACTAAACCAATCTGTACACTGTCTAAGACAAGTGGACTATCAGAATCACCTTAAAAGTAAATTATTGTATTTTTACTCTTTGATAAAAGAATTATATGCAGTTGAAAAAGTCATAAAGGATCACATTCAAAATATTCTTTTTCACGAATATTAATCTTCTACACATGCGTTGTTTATTTTTTTGAGTAGATCAATAAGAAAAAAATACAATAGAAGTTGAAAATACATAGCAAATATCGTGTGTATAGTTATTATCTATATAAATGTTGGTATTTTTAACCGATTGATATATCATCTGACATTTTGGCAATTCAACAATTTTTATATTTATTATTTACAACCAATTATTTCTTCCACCCGTATTTTAAAATGTTTCACAATGTTAAATATGTTTCTTTTATTTTAATAGTAATCTCTAGAACGAGATGTTATAGTTCAATGACTGATAAGTAGAGATCAATGATGAATCGTTTTGAAACGTTTATACTTTCGATTTGTGATGATGACTGTTACCTTGGTTTCTCCCCAACCAGTGAATATTGCAGTACAATTCGTTTCATCAATGTCTTTATCTAGGAATAGGAATGACTGCATTAGAATATTCAAATTTTCCGATAATTTTTATCAGATCAATGTCATTTACAATAGGGTTAACACTATCACTTTTTTCACACCGTACGATATGCCACCTATAAATGAAACATTATTATACACATTAAAAATGAAAATAACGTTGATTAAATACTAATCATATATTACTTTGTACATTTATAGTAGGACGTTAGAAAATATTATTTTACCAGATAGAATATTATTACTGCCAACTACCACAAATATATCAATAGAATTATGAAGACAATGAGTTGCTATAAAAATTCATTGCTTATTAATAATTTCACAAATGTGAAAGCACGTATGGATACTTGATAAGGAAATACATTGTCTTTAGCGTCATTTCCTCTGATTACTCTGCCGAAGATTGGTCCATATATATATATATATATATATATATATATATATATATATATATATAATATGTATTTTATATATCATATATATATATATAAAATTTATAATCGATATATATATATATAAAATTGGACAGGCTTAATTTAAATAGAAGAATGTAGCTTATGTTCAACTAAAATGTCTTTTATCACAGAATTGAAATGTTCGAAGATCGCGATATGACGATTTATTAAAACACATTTTTCTACTTTTACAATTTAAAAATCCCCTACAATTCACAATAAAGTTTCCATTTTACTAAGATTGTACTTATAAATCGCAATCCACGTTCTATACACTTCTCGATATACTATATACGTTTATATGCCAGTAAATTTTATAATTATTGATTAGACTTTATAATTATTGATTAGACAATTATTGATATGCTTAGCGTTTTATACTGCTATAAAGTTAAGTTGATCGAATATTGATTTCACTGATATCAATAATTTTTATAGTTGATTCTACAATTAGCCAAATTTTAAACGCATCGTGATATAGACTTTCGTACATTTTACGTATCTATTACATATATTATATATACAAATTATTCCTTGTGTAATTATAAAATATGAAAAGAGAGATTTAACTTTATTCAAATTAAGGGATATAGAATCAATATTAATATCTATCCATGACATAATAAATTAGTATGATGGCCTATAAACGTTTCATATAAAGAGAGTATTTTGTATCATGTGCAAGTATTCGTAGAACCATTACAATTAAAAATTCTAAGAATTAGAAATATCTTAATATTAACGGATATAAAAAGTAAAATATTATGTTTATGATCGATGTAAATAAGTATCTACTTGTATAGAAAATTTACAACAAGCTTATTGTTTATAAGACTCGTATTTCCTAAGTATGTGTAATGTAAAAATAAGTACGCATCGTCGGTATTAAAAATTATAGGTATACATTGGTAAATATCGATTTTAATACTTACTGATGTACATATTTCTAAGGAAATATGCATCACAGTTTTCTTTGAAAATGCGTATTCATTTATAATATGATGAATAATAAAAGTTTATATTTTTATATTGTATCAAAATATACGAATTATACAAATATTATTTACAAATAGGAAAATTCACAGATTTCAATCTTAATCTTGAAACAATATTTTTTGATACTACTACTGTACTTACATATTAAATATATCTTTATATCGATATACTTCATTGATAATATTGAATCATCAAATTGATAATACTGAATCCAATTTAATCGAATAAATTAAAAGATATCGATCTAGAACGTAATCGTAGTTATCGTAACATTTCGAACACATGTTAAATTAAATGAAATGATGATTATTAACAGTTTACACAAGATAATTTATCTAATTGCGATATTGAACGTTAACATTCCGATATTGAACGTTAACATATAAAGAATTGAATTTTGGCATGAGAAAATGTTTCGTAAGGACGTACATGCTGTCTCAAGAGCGTATTCTTTGCCATAATAAATGCGACGAAGAAGCGAGGATGCGAAAACTCGCTTTCAGGCCATACACACTTGAAGCTGTTCGCTGTACGCGAAGAAAAAAGAAGAGAGCAAAGAAAGAAAGAAAGAAAGAAAGAAAAAATAAAAGAGAAAAGAAACAAAAAAAGAAAGAAAATAACAAAAAGAAAAAGAGTTAAAAGTTGCACTAGCGTGCATACGTAGGTAAAAGGGAGTCGTAGTAAATATTCGGCGCGCTTCTTTATTTATGCGATCTTCAGCAGTTTTCACCCCATTACAACTGCCGAAGCCACCCTGATGGATGAATAAAAGAATGCGCCGCGGACTTGGTAACGAGGAGAACGAAGAAGAAGGAAGAAAACGGAGATGGATAAGGGTGGGGAAAGAGAAAGGAGCTGAGGGATGAGCAGATAAAGAGTAAGAGAAAGAGAAAAAGAAAGAGTGAGAAAGGATGATAGAACGTTGGCAAGGCGAGGCAGGTTGGCGAAGACGTTGGTAGGACAGACTTGAAAGAGAAGTAACGAAAAGAGAGAAAAGAAACGGCCCTGTTAACTGGAATCGGTAGGGAGGCAAGGCGAGGCGGATAATCACGAAGAGAGAGATGGGCAGAAGCAGGCAGAGACAGGTGCCCATTCACGCACGTGTGTTCTCTTTTAAGCGGTACTGTAGATGATGCTGGAAAGACGAAGAAGACCACGAGGAGGACCGGCCGGCTTCCTTGTGTCGGCGAAGGATACTTACATTCACTCTACAATCATGCCACACTTGCGGCTCAACGAACATAGTGGGGCAAAACTCCAACGGCGTAGTCTTCATAAACCGACTTTCACAGAAAATTTTACATTTAGTACTTCTCATGCCTGCTAGGTACAATTTTTAATTCATTTCTTTTTTACATTTTAATATAAGAATACGTGTTTTTAATTATGTCTAGAGATAACAATATGAAATTATAAAACTATGTACTATGGAAGATCTTTCACGGAAATGAACTATGATACTATATTTGATAATCACATTTAATGAAAATTTCCTACCATTAATATTTTATCGAAATAATTTTAAATCGATTCCAACTCTACGAACGTCTAAATTCCACCCATCCAGTAAGATACGTAGATACTTCTTTTAACAAGTTCCTTATATCAGCGTTTTTCACTATACAATGTCATCTTTTTACCCACGTATAATACATTGTACAGAAAGTATGTGGGCGTTGAAGTCTCCAAGAGTAACTGTTCATGATCAAAGTTGTATTACATTACAGTTGCATTAAAATTCGATTGATATAACTTTCTACCAACTCTATTAAACATCGTGTATTTTCGTAAGATAAGAATTATATGTATGTGAATATCTTAACGATTATCAAAGAACTTACAGAAATTAAGACTTTTGCGAAGACTGCCTTGTGACTACGCCGCTGACCTGGACCAAAGGGGCCAGGACGAACGATGGGTGGGAAAAGAAATGAAGAAGGGGAAGGGCTACCCATTCGGTAGCAAATGCTGGTAAGCCGTCGCAAGGTCAAGATCAGTTGGTTAATCTCAGCCAGTCAACCAAGGGCCTTGCACCTAGCATAACGAACGACCTGATTCTTAGAGCTCCGAACGTCATCTGAATTTCTACAAGTTTATTGTAATTAAAACGCTTTGATATAGTGATTCCAAGATAGATAAATATCAAATAGAATCAAATTTACTTCGAATTACAGTGAATAATTAACTAAATAATAATAATCTATTATTTTGTGATTGTTACTTGATGAATCAGTGAATCAATGAAACAGATCATTTTAGAAATTTATTGATTATGTTGATCGATCGACGATCTTACGTTTATATATATATGTATGTTTAGAATAATCAGAATTCTAACGTAAGTTTTACGTGCTATCATTATCGATCTGATTAAAATAAAAAAGATTAAGCAGGTTGGAAAATTTTTGCTATCGTTTGCTCTTTAGAAGGCACGGAATTATTCTCTGTGCGTAAGGAACTTCTACGTGCAGTGTTTACGGTAGAAATTTGAACAGTGGTGAAATTCTTCAGTCCATATTCCGTGGGTTTTCTGTTATGGAAACTTGCGTACTAATACCGAAAGAGTTCTCTTTAGTTCTTGCCAGTGATCAATCCGCATGTAAAAATGTTTATAAAAATGATTCGGATTCATTTGTCACAAATTTACGAATATCGGTGTGGTCTAATGTCTTTATTCCATTGGGCACACTCATCTATCCGTTTCAGGGGTCAATTAGATTCGATAAGATTGATCTGTATTCCCTTCTTGATGATAACGACGTAAGTACACATCTGCTTTTCTTTTTTTTTCACATCTTTTCATTTTCTATAAAAAGGGATTATTATAGTAATTTAATTATATATACATCCGACATATTCTAAAACATTTATAATTATTTTTATAATTAATCGTAACATTTACAATTATTTTTGGAGGATCTTTTAATATTTTTCATGTTGCGTTTGGAAGAAACGTTGATAAGTCTATGGTATCATTTTTCCCGTGCGATTACATTCGCTACCCTCTTAGTGTACTATGACGAGCTGCTAGCTGCCTATTAAAGCGATCCGCTTTTAGATCAGACGCGAGTACGGTTGCTATGACGAAGTCTTTTCGAACTACAATCTTAACAAGCGTCAGTGTAACTGGATAAGGTTTCTTCATATCATTCAAACGGATGACGAACAAGTTAATCTTATTGGAACAAAGGTAAAGGGTAAGTCATGTGGTTACTTATTATTTCTTCGAATTTTTTAAAATTATATTCGTATCTATATCTTTTTTAAATTGTTCAACGATTCATTACCTTATTTTAGGTGAACCAATTTTTGAAGTTATCAAAGATGTTCAGCCAGATACTGAATTAATAGCTTGGTTTCCACCAGTAACGTATCCAGATTTTATTTTTATTTCCCATGATATGTGTTTAAGATCCGCACTTTACAGATGTTTGATCGACAGTATCGTAGATGGTGGGTTCAAAATTACTTTGCGAACTTGTACAAAATTTTTTAATATTTTAGGAATTATATGAAAAATATTTGTCTTTGATCTTTGATGTTTTAGAATCACCTTTGGATCTATCTATGGCTTTACTTTCTCATCACATATCACCATCGATACAGCATTCTTATTATGAACCTGATGAATATGAATCAACCTCTGAGGAATCATCATCATCTACGCTATCGTTAGTTGGTGATCATCTTGATTGTAGTATTTTAACTACTATAAAAAGAGGTGACAAAGTACTTTTGCCATGCGAAGTATGTGGTAAATCTTTCGATCGTCCATCACTCTTGAAAAGGCATACCAGAACGCATACTGGTAAGAACATCGGTATAAATGATGTGCATGTAATATATGGGGAAAATAGATAATAACTTCTCTTTTAATTATGTTACTAGTAATGATAATGAACAAATAATAAGTATGATATTATATTGTATTAATGTTCATTTTAAGGCGAGAAACCACACGTTTGCATGGTATGCAGTAAAGGCTTCTCAACATCAAGTTCTCTAAATACTCACAAGCGTATTCATAGCGGTGAAAAACCTCATCAGTGTCTTGTATGTGGCAAGAAATTTACAGCATCTTCGAATCTTTATTATCATAGAATGACTCACATCAAGGTAGAATCTTAATATCTAAAGTATCCTAATCATATTAATTAACTGGAATACATCAATAACTTAAGTATATTCTAAAAAGAAATATCAAAAAAATGTAAATAAAATAAAGAATAATAAAAATGTCAAATAAAAATAGGAATAAAAATAAATGGAAATAAAAAAAAATATATTTATACATAACGATTATCAGTTCGATGACTACAAATATTATCCGATTTTTATAATTACATTTCTTTTTATAATTACAATTCTATGTTGCAGGAAAAACCACACAAATGTTTACAATGCTCCAAATCATTCCCAACTCCTGGAGATCTAAAGAGTCACATGTACGTGCATAACGGATTATGGCCATTTAGGTGTCAAATTTGTAACCGTGGATTCAGCAAGCCAACAAATCTAAAGAATCATATGTTATTGCATCTTGGAAGATGTTCGAATAAGAAGTTCATTGAATCGATTCCAGACTTGTGACTTTTTGCGACAGTATACTAATCACTAGTTACATAGTGAGAAGGTAATAAATACTTTATTAAAGTGGCTTGTAGACTTATATTATTCATATTAATTATATTCGATCCATTGCCTGTGTATTTCTTAAGCATTATCAGCAATGCAATTTATTGCTAAAGAAATACTAAACAAAGGCAAATCATTGAGCAAATAACGTTTTATTGTTCAAAAAGACAATGTTACAAACAACCTTGACGAGATGGTTAAGTCAATTTGTATTTCATCATTTGCAAGTATTTACTGTTTTCTAGAATATCGCATCAGAATTTAGAATTCGATTTTTATTAAGAAAAAAAAAATAAAAAATAGTATAATAAACGATAAGTCTAATAAGACAAATGAAGAACAATATGTGCAATCGAGACGAACACTTTGGTAGGCTTAAAGACAAATGCAATTTTTACATAGTTATTATCTAAGCGCATTAATTGTAATTTCTTTTCTTCTTCTTATTTTTTTCTTTATTTTTTTTTATATGATATATCGATGCAGAGTATAAAATTATACGATAATTTTACCTTTTCTTCTGTAATTATTCTGTCGAACTGAACAGATTTCGGAGATGTATGTATATAGATTGCACGTGTCATTTTTCTTTTTTTTATACAACTTATCGTGTAAGAATCTATGTATACTTCTTTATTTTTTTTTTTAAGCACCGGAACTGCCACCGCTGCCAAGTCCCGCTTTTGTATCTAAAGGTATTTGCTTTTGGAAGCAGTCTTCCAAAAATTGAGCCATAGATAAGTACAAGTGTCCTTTTACACCTGTTAAAGTATGGCTCACGTCTGGATATACCTAATGTAGTAAAGAAAAAGAAAAAATAACAAAACATCAAACATTTAGTACATTTTGATTTTAACTCTAGATACGTAAACCTGTATGCCATTCGATAAATTCACATCACATATTTTATGTGAAAAATAATTTTTTAGAAATTTTTATTATTGAATAATATCTTTTCCAGAGCGTTATAGTTTTATTCAATATATACGATACAGAGTAGAACGTATCTAAGAGTTAATATTTATAGAAATTATCTTTTAAGCGACAGCCGATATCTATCGAGTTCTCATTCAATATTACATCAATTTAATAATAGATTTATATATATATATATATATATATATATATATATATATATATATATATATATATATATATATATATATATATATATATATATATATATACACACACACACACACACACATACACACATCTATACAAATTTAAATACGTAATCTTAATATTTTTTTACGACTACGTCATGTCTATATAGATGCCGCCGTATATATATTACGAAGACATTTTGTTTTTATTTTATGTAATTTCACTATCGATTCACTGCTGATTTAGACTCCGTGATCTTTTGTCAAAGCTATTTGATTATATATATATAGACTTTAATTTTTATAATCATTTTAATCGTAAACACAGTTTAAAATATAGTAATAAGTAGAAAGTTTTTCACACATGACTCCGGCTATGTGCTTTATTACTTGTATAAAAGAAAGTTGATTGCAAAAAGCGTAACCACCATGCAATAAATATGCAATAGGCGATATTTAAACAACTTACTTTTAAATATTATGTATGTACATATTTGATACCCAAACATAAGAATCCACGATTTTTTCTTTCCATATCATGTCCAATCAGCTTCTTGTTGCATTGTAATTACTGTCAATAGCAATCAGATAATCAATAGATATCGACTGGTATACGACACGAAATTATCGATAAAAAAAAATAAAGAATGCCTTTACGGTCGAAAGGTTGTGGAAATACCTGCTGTCGAAAGAGAATCCCCTCTTTCGCAAGGTGACGCGCAAGTGCCATGGATTGTTGAAATTGAACGTTATCGTCCGCAGTTCCGTGGACTAAATAGAACATTTTATTACGCAGGTACTCGATTTTGTTGTAAACGTCGGAATCGGCGTAACCTTTGTAATTAGAAGTAACGTTTGGTAAACCCATATATCTCTCGGCATAAGCGGAATCTGTAATAAATTCATTTACGGAACAGTGCCAGAGTTAGGAAGCTCTTATAATATATATGTTGATAGAAATAGAATTAATAATATGTTGATAAATGATAATAAATTTTCTTTATAAATAAAATAAATATTGTCCATATATTTTAATCATAATAAAAGAAAAAATAATAGTTAAATATTTTTTTATACCATAGAGCTTCCATGAAACGATAGGTGCAACGCTTATTCCGCAATGAAAAACATCTTGTTCGGGATGAGCTAGAGCTGATGCTGCAACGAAACCGCCGTAACTCCAACCCCAAACTGCAACGCACCGTTTGTCTATAAAATGTAACGTGTCTCTCAAATATCTAAAACAGAGATTTAAGACACATTAGAAAAATGTATAAAAGCATCTTGCAAAGATTTGATGCGGAAGTATAAAACATACTCCGTAACTTCTAATTGATCAGCTACTTCGGCAGAACCAAGTTTATAATAAACCTCATGAAGTAGTTTGTATCCTTGACCGCCACTACCTCGACCATCTATCTGGGCTACGATAATACTTTTCCGACTGGCTAAATACGTATTCCAGTCGATCTTAAACATCTCTGTGACTAACTGAGATCCTGGTGCTCCGTATCTATATATTTATAAATGCAAATATATAACTATGTTGCACTATATATCCCTTACGCTTATTTTATATACATACACCTGCACAACTAAAGGATAACGCGTGATTTCGTCTTCTCGCAAGCCAGGTGGTAAATGTAATCTTACTTGTGCGTTGTAACCACCACTTATATGTACTGGGAAGGTTTTCACTTGTGGAAGAGCGATCTTTGATATTTTTTCCTAATAAAAATATTGATATATATATAAATAGTCGATACATATCAAGAAAGAACTATCATAGAGAATACTAACGCGTAACACTGTATTATTCTGTAGAACACTCAATAATCGTGGCATTGGTGTTTCAGTTTTATAAAGTGAAATCGTAGGTATCCCAGGGCCAAGACATTCTAGAACGAAGTAGTCTAATCCGTAAGAAGGAAAAATGGCGTGATGATACTGACAAGGTGGTTCCTCAGAATCTGAAAAAATATACATGAAACAATATTAATTTGATTTGATTCGTTTCGATAATTCAACTTGCGTTTTTATGCATAACTATTCGAGACTGGCTTCGTCGCTTCCCTCTTAAGAATAGGAATCCTACTATACTTATAGATCACGCACTGACACGAAATAGAAAATAGATAGGAAGAGAAATTGAATAGCAATAGTGCGATATAAATTGAATTTTATACATATATCTATGGACTGTCATAAGCAAGAAGTGCGATTGCTCTTTAATTAGAATAGTAGTCTGCATTCTTTTATTCCACTATTCGATGCATTATAGAGCAGCTTACCCATCATTCAAAATATTCCAGATGTTCGAAGCATGCTAATGTAGAATATATTGGGTGTACCGCAGCTAGTATGTCAGCTTCAAATGGCGGATTCCTGAGATAAAAATCCTTAAAAAAGGGATGTATACAGTGGATGAAAAATCAACAATTATCGTGACATAAATAATCAAAAACCAATAAATCGGGGTTGAAGCATTCATGCAAAGTAGTGTGCAAGAGTAGTAAGAGCAGTATTATTGTTTCATTGAATTTGTTTAGTAAATGTGTACAGTAGAAAACTTTCCAAATAATAAAAAGTGGAAAAAAGAAAACATTTATTTGATATTCATATGAAACTATTATGTAATTTTTATTAACGAATTGTATTAATAACTAATTAAAATCTTGATATAATTAATGAAATAAAAAATCAAAATAAGGAACGTATGATGATTAAAAAAGATTTATACAATTAATTATCGTGTGAAGTGATACACCCTGTATATTCTATATGTCCGTGGATATATGTTATGTGTAAATGTGTAGCAAAATACTAGCTATGATAGTTAATTCTACATTTCCATGATTAGAATTACTTCTATAATTAACATTAGAAAAATGCATGACAATTATTGAAGAATACAATACACTGTGATAATAAAGAAGTTGTATACAACGCACGCGTTATGAAATAACGCAACAAGTGTTGTGTACTCACTAGAAGAATGTGAAGCTTTTGATTTCTGCTTTTTCGCTTTTTCTTTTGCACGTTGTTGTTCCTTATCTTCAGGATTTTCCGTTTGTACATCGTAATCCTCGTGCCAATCAGTTCCCATCCATCCATTGCGACGATCCGAAAATGTTGTGTGATAACTGCTTTGATCGTTATTTATTTTCGTGGACTGAGCATTGCACGTGATGCAAATTGCAGGATGTAAGGAAGAGCCCACCTGAGGTAAAAGTGAGCTGACACGATATAAGTGTCTTTGTCCAGGACGCATAGGTGGTATACCTATGAAATATCTAAAAAAATTGAATAGATTTTGAATTATTATAAATATATAGATGTATCTAGATATTTTTTTTCACGTACATGGTATCGTTGACCTTATCCCACCCTAATATTTTGACAACTTCAAAGCGTCCATGTGTCAAGGGTACTACTTGCTTTCGAAGCACATTTACCCATACAATATGTTTAAAATATCCAGCAGGTCCTTCTGATATAGGACTGATCGATATATAACTGGTGCCATTAACTGAGAACAGTGGTGCCTCTGGTGGTGTATCAACCCATCCATGTCCATCGCTAGTTATTCTTTGTATCTCCTATAAAAACACTCATTATATTTAAATATATATTTTAACATTCATTTAATATTCAATATTATTGAAACAGTTACCAACCTGACAATGCCACATAGGACTTTTACAAACTGTTACGACTGAGAAATTCTGAGCTCTTGTTAACCATGATATACAAACTTCAGTTAATGATACCCAGGAAGCAGTAGTAAAATAATGATCTCTATAATAAATGAAATGAAGTATTATATACACGTGTTTGCCATTAGGATTTATAAATATATTATATGGATATATTAAGCTTTCACTATGGATAAATATACTTTCACAAAAAAAAAATTCTATAAATGTTATGAAAAGTTGTATAAAATCTATACATTATTATCCTAAGTCGAGTAAATAAACTTACACGTATTCGATGACAGGAGGTGGTTTTACTATTTTCGTATGAATATTTTTTGGATCAGCAAGATCAGCGACATATAGACGCACGAAAGGATTTGGAGTTCCCGGCTGCAAATTATAATTTTATTCTATTTAAATTTATTCTAATAGAATTTTATTCTATTTAGATTTTAATGTTAAACGAATATCTAGCATAAAGGAAATAGGTGCAATAATAATAACAAGAAAAATTTCGTCTATTCGATCGTATAAACTATTTCAAGTCAAAAATTACTTCAATGTTGTTGTTCAAAAATGATACGTACTTCGACTGTTGTAAAGATTAATACCTTAGGATATCTCAAAGATCGTATATCAGGATACAAAGCCCTATTTCCTTCTCCAAACCAAGGAATATGCATTTCTTCGACTAACGAATCATTAAACGACGCATAAAGCATCATATGACCATCAGTTGACATCCAGATTGCTTCAGCGCTATGTAAAATCTCCTCTGTAAATAAATAGAAAAATTCTCCGTTTATAGTAATAAAAAGTAAAACTGACACTTAACAATTAGATTAAAAGAAAGAAAATTTGCCTTCATATAGCCAATCTGGTAGACCATTAGATAGAATTCCAGGTACTGCAGTATCAGTTACACGATACCCAGTGTTACTCAAAGGACCTGTTCTATAATAAA